CGGGGAGCTCCTGGCCGCCAGCGCCGGCCCAGATCGAGGGCATTCTCGAGCAGAGCCCCCCTGAGTCCGAGCGCGGCTTCCTGCGGGGGCGCCACTTCTTGGGCAACATCGCGTTGCTGGACGCGCGTGCTCGACTGGTCGGGCTCCTTGATCATCGTCGCGAACTGCGCCGTCCGCTCATGGTGCGCCCCGACGTCGGCGACGTCTTCCCGTCACTCTCAGCGTCGCGTGGCGGGCTGCCGTGCGACGCGCTGGCTTCGCCGGTGGCCTCTTCGACCTTATCATGGGCGCGCGCTGGATGCCGAATGCACTCTTGCTTATCGAGGGCATCGCGACGCACTTCGCGTCAATTGTTTCGGGCATCTCCCTGTGCAGCCCGCTGCCAGGCCCGCTGCGGGCAGCTCCCATGAGCACCTTTCGCGCGCCGCGTGGAGGAGACCTTCGCCGCTTTCGCCGCGTCGGCGCTGGGTATCTGCGCCGGCGCCGTCTGCTCTGTGTCTCAGGACTGTTGACTTCCTCTGTGTATATGGCGAGTCTTTCGCGCTGCTCGATCGCTGGCTGGTCCGTGCTTGAAGACTGCCAGTTGCAAGGTCGTCCTCCTGCGCGGCTCTTGCGCCCGGGAGCTGGTCAGCGACGCGCTCGATTGGCTGGCCGCTAATATTCCTGGATGGGCACAGATGGCGGTCGCCCCGTACGCGGAGCACTTCAGCGTCTACCCTGTCCCCGTTGCTGATCTTGCGGTCACGTGGTAGAAAACTGGAGCCAAGTGGATTCGCCGCGCGCGTGAACTGGCTTTGCTTGGGGCGCCCGCCCGCTTGGCGACGCACTGTGCAGATCGAGGACGATCGCGGTGCTGAGCCACGTCATGCAGTTGACGCTCGTGCCCGCATCCTTTCACAAGCGCGAGAACTAGCGCGGCACAAGATCTGGCAGCTTCTCCCTCGGAGCTCTCCGAAAACTGGGTTACTTTGCTTCGGAGAATGGTCGCTGCTTCGCCCTGGCAGCATGGCGGTCCTCAGTCTGTCGACCAGGATGCGGGCTGCCCGTCGCGCCATCACCTACTGGCGCGGCCTGCTGGCCCAGCTGCGCGGGGCCACCATCGAGAATGGCACGCTTGTCGAGGTTGGCGCTGGCTGGCTGCCCCCCCTTCGCGGAGCGCCCAAGCCGCTGGGCGCGCGCGTCGCTGAGTCCGCGGACGGCCGCTTCCCTGATAAGGCGCAAGCTGCCGCCGCGCCCCCGCGCTAGCCGCCCTTGCTGAAAATGATGGGCCTGGGCGGGCGCGCGCATAGAGCCCGCCCCCTTCCCTTCGAGCGCCCCTCGTCCCTGATGTCCTCCACCTCGCCCTCGCCAAGCCTCTCTCGTTTTGGGGCATCCCGCATCCTGTTTCGTTGTGGGGGCCCCTTCGGGACCTCATCAAAGCAGGGGCCCCTCCATGTTGGCAGAGCGCGGTTGTCACAACACTCGTGTCGGGTTGGCTCATAAGTGCCCGCCTCCATAGTGGTGTCCAGAGAGCCTGTCTATTCAGGTGTGTGCAGTGTCGAGACGGGGTGCCCCGCGGCGTCCGTTGTTCAGTTTTGTGGGGCCTCGCTGACCATCCCGAGCCGCTTGCTGAGTGTCTTGCCACTTCGTCTGGACATCAACGGGGATCCCACCCCCGAGGCCGTAGGGTGGATTGTGCGCGCATGCCACATGTATAAGGTGTCCCGTGCAGCTCTTGAGCCTTGCCCTCCGGCGTCGGAGGAGGAGCTGGCCAGCCATCGTTATAACATCCGTCGTGCTGCGCAGGCACTGGTTGATCTTCCACGCGCGCCCGTGTAGGCCCGTCTGGGCCCATTTCGGATCCCCTCGGTGTACAAACGGTACTACACACATGCACAATCATACATATATACACACAAACATGCATATACCGATGTAAGCACACGCAGGCTTGTAATTCCACAACATAAGCAGCCACTGTGCGCACACACCGCTATATATATGCACACACATACACGCAAGTATACATACACACATACATACACGAATACAGGCACAACGTACACGACAGTTTGAAGATGGGCACGCGTAGCCCCGTGGCGGGTGGCGAGCGGCATGTTTTCGCCCGCGTGCCTCGGCACATCTTGGTCGTCGTTTTCTTAGTTGTTTCGTTTTGCTCTGCGGAGGGACCCCTCGTCGCCGCGGCCGAGCGTGGGTCGGGAAAAGCAAGTCAGTGCAGTGCCCGGGGGGGGGGGTCAGGGGGCCAGCCAGTCTTGAACGGATTCTGGTCAGGAGCAGGGTTTGGTCGATGCGACGACACGTCCTGTGACATCCTCGCGTCGTAAAAAATAGCAACGGGAGGTGTTGAGCAGTTTGCGGCGTATGGGGCTCGCACCAAACCCCAGGGAATTTAAGCAATGCCTCAGTGACGATGAGAAGCCCGTCCCCGTGAAAAGGGTTCAGAACTGTAGAAGGCAACGATGTGAGCAAAATCGTGGCGTCGGATTTCTGAATTGCCGAAGCTAGAGCTCGGCGGGTTTCTGAAGACGGCGATAATGGTACCCAGGTGCATGTTCTGGTTTCTGCGGGCCACGCTGTTTCAACACGGCGCCACAGTATCATTCGGCTTGTGTCACTATCCCCTCCCCAAACCCCACACCGCCCACGGAAGAGGTAGTCACCATATGTTGCCACATCCGTCTACTTCGTACGGGTTCCCTTCTTCTCCTTCACGTTCCTCGGCAACGCCCCCGCCTCCCTCTTCTTATCCTCGTTCCTCATCCTCCCCTCATCCTCTTCCTTTTCCTTCTTCCTCGAGACGGAGGGGACACAAGTTGCGAAGCAGTGCCAGAACCTCGCTCGTTTCTTGTCCAGTTCGCGATACCCCAACACCCTCTGCTACCGTTCAAGGCGCTCCTTCCCTTGCCCCGTGTCCCCGTCCATCTCCTTGCCTCTCCAACCTTGCTGTTCCGTCTACTCCAATCCTGTTTCTTCGCCTCGTCTTCCTCCTTCGGTTGCCCATCCTCCTAGTCCTTTTCGCCCGTTGCATGCATGTCGATCTTGTTCCGCATTGTGATTCGCCCTCCCTTTTTGTCAGCCCCATCCTGATTGTTCTCCTGGGCCCCCCCCCATTCCCCCGCTTTCATCTTACGTTCCCACGTCCTATTCATATGTTCCGCCTTCTGCTCGGGTTCCTGTCTGTATCTTCGTATCCTCCCGTTTCTCCTCGTCCTCCTTCTCATGCTCCGCCTGCTCTTTGTGACGTTTCTCCCACTCCTGCTGTTGCTTCATCGTCAAATCCCCCTCCTGTCTCGACATCCCACATGCGTAATTCACTCTACCTTCCTGCTCCATCCTCCTCCAACGTGCATGCCTCCGATCTGCCCCCTGCCTGTTTCCCCTTCCTGTCGAGGCATGGCCTGTCGCTTGCGCGGCGTGTTTGCTCGTCCCCATATGTATCCGCGAGATCCTGCAGGAGGAGAAGGGCTCAGAGCGCAAATGAGGATTATGATGCTGATGGTGATGCTGATGTTGATGATGCTGCTGATGATGATGATGATGATGATGATGATGATGATGATGATGATGTTGCAGATGATTATGATGATGATCATGCTGCTGCTGCTGGTGATGATGATGCTGCTGCTGATGACGATGGTGATGGCGATGATGATGAGGATGGTGACGATGATGGTGATGATGATGATAATGATGAGGGTGATGATTATGACGATGACGACGATGATGCTGGTGATTATGATTAATACGATGATGCCGTTGTGAATGTTGATGCTGCTGTTGAGTGTGATGATGCTGGTGATGCTGACGATGATGATGATGATGATGATGATGATGATGATGGTGATGGTGATGGTGATGGTGATGATGATGATGATGATGATGATGATGATGATGATGATGATGATGATGATGATGATGATGATGATGATGATGATGATATGGATGAGGATGATGATAAGGGTGAGTGTGATGATGGTGATGGTGATGGTGATGATGCTGCCGTTGCTGATGTTGATGCTGATGATGATGCTGGCTGATGATGCTGAATTTGATGAGAGTATGATGAGTCTGATTTTGATGAGAAGGGGGAGGAGGAGGAGGAGGAGGAGGAGGAGGAGGAGGAGAAGAAGAAGAAGAAGAAGGAGGAGGAGGAGGAGGAGGAGGGGGAGGAAGAGGAGGAGGAGGACGCGGAGGAGGAGGAAGAGGTGGTGGGGGAGGAGGAGATGGAGGATTGTCGCGGATTGTCGCCAGGGGGAGGGAGGAGGAAAAGAGTGAAAGTGAAGAGTTGGAAGAGGACAGGGACGAGCGAAAAAGGTGTTGTAGCGAACGAGGAGGACGGGGACATGGGCGCGGCGACGACGAGGAGGGCGTTGGTAGCGCGAAGATTTTGGAGGAGATGCTCATCGGCTCCCCCTCTCCCCGAGGGGAGGACGAGAATGACGAGGAGCCTTCCGGGTCGGGAAATCGTTGCCGATGATCAGGACGACGGCGACGACCTTGACGACGACGACCACAGCCACGACGACGACGAGACAGAATATCACGACGGTGGCCACGACGATTCCTACCACCTCCTCAACGACCACAACCACGGCGACGAATTCGACGACCACGGCGACGACCCCGACGACATCCACGACCTCGACGACGACAACGAACTCGACGACGACGACGACGACGAGCTCGACGACGACGACGACGACGACGACGACGACGAGGACGGTGACGGCGACGGCGACCACGACGACGACGACGTCGGCGGCGGCGGTGGCGGCGGCGGCGTCGGCGATGACGACGACGTCGGCAGCGGCGACGGAGGCGGCGGCGGCGGCGATGACGACACGGCGACGACCTCGACGACGACCACGACCACGACTTCGCGCACGATCGCAACGGCGGCGGCGGCGGCGGGGGCGACTGCGGAGCGCCCCCCGAACGCAGCGCCGCGGCGGCGGCGCGCGGCCCCCCGGGCCGCCCGCGGCGGGGCCCTGCCGCCCGCG